ATATATATATGTTTATGGATCATATTTGTCAACCTGTTCTCTATTATGTTTATGGATATTACTCACAGTATTTCCAACATAACTTCTAAATAAGGTCTGGACCTACCAACTAACCAATTTAGTCATCTTCATTCTCCTCTGGCTCCAAAATGTAAGGCTGGATGAACAAGTGTTCCATTGTTGACATGTTTGAATTAATTTGTAAATAAAAATTAATATGCTGCTATATAATCATATCTCTGCTAAATGGACCGGTCTGGAAGCTGGAGGGGGGCGGGGTGTGAAGCGTCTCATTTAAAGAGACAGCCTCAAAACAAGTTGATCTGAGACACACCACTGAAAAGGGGTGAAAGAGGGGCTTGTGGAGTTACAATAAGGAGGAATTCAGACCAAAGCATTCCAATTACACTTTATATACACCCCAACTGATGGATTTAAATGTGACAAAGAAAGATTTCAAAGCATGATGTTTCCTTTACTGGGGAAGTTCACTGAYGTCAACACTGAATAAATTATTCCTTCAAGGAACGCATTTTGCCAGAGTTTTACAGCAAGATCATCTTATGGTGAAAGAGTTATCACCATTTTAGACAAAACCTTAAAAACATACATAATCTCATGGGATACTTCAAACTAGGCATAGGCCAGATGCTGGTTTTACAGTATAATACCGTGAAAAGTCACAGTTTCAAAACCACTAAAATTTTCTGTCATACCGTTTCTACGGTATGTCTGTGCCACTGCAGACTTTCACCCACAACCCCTCCCCTGTGTGTGATGGCTGAAGGAAAAAAGGTCCCCAAACTTTTCCCCTGTCTAACAGAATAAAGCCAGCTAAATGAAAATACTAGTAACACTTCATTTGAAGGGGTGTGCATAAGACTGTCATAAATATGAGTGTGGCTGTGGCATATTGTGTTGGTCACAACTTGTCTGAAAATTTGTTTTAGAGTTGTTGTATTGTGTATTTGATAAGTTTTAAGTAAAAGGTGATAAAAATGAATGCCTCTGTAGYTTTAGTCTTGCAGCTCTTTAGCTGAACGTGCGTTTCATAAACACGCGTTCATATTTGTGATCTGTGTTGTTTCTGTGTGCGTGTATTTATATACTCTTTATGTCAAACACCCCTTTGAAATTTAAAACAGAGATTCTTAACCTGTGGGCCGCGGCTCAACTGTGGGCCGTGAGCGCCACCTTGAGGGCCTCAAAAGAACAACAGTTTTTAACTTTGGGTCGCAGAGGGCCGCGGGATAAGGTGCAATACACTTTCTCACCACTAGTAGCGGTAGTGCACCACTCAGATGTTTAACAACTTTTTTAATATGTAGAAGAAGAACCTTAGAAACCTGCTGAGAATGGAAACTTACTTTAAATGAAAAGTAGAAGCAAAAATGAAAATAACTCATCAAAAAACACCGAAGCTTGTCACTAATATGAAGAGCAGCTTCTGGTTTTAACATGCAATATTTTAAATGTTCAAAACATTATCAAATACAGTTGCAGATACAACTATATTTTAATTTGCACTTTAAATTAATTTTTGTAGTTTATTTTTAAACATTTTGAATGTATTTTAAAGACATTTTAAACTTGTCAAAAAGCTGTTGTTACTG